CGACTTCGAATACTTCTTCGACGGAGAGGGCATGTAAATACTCGTACGATAAATCGCGCGGCTCGACTATTTCAGACATTTCATTCAAAGTAGATGGTACAGTTTTCGATCGATTCAACATTGATTTCACAGGTGTGAAAGCCCGTATAGAATTGTCATGCGAAGCGCTCGGTCGTTTTCGCTTTGGTTTTGGTTCCTCGTCCTCTCCCGAAAAGAACGTTTCGTTCTTGATAGGATCCTTGAAGGATTCAACAGTGTTTTCGACAATCTGTTTCAGCGGTTCGATAATAGGTTTAAAGTGTCTCTCCAACGCGTTGTCCTCCATTTTACCGGTTTTCAGGGCACGGTACTTTTTACGAATCGAATCGCTCGTTTTCGCAATCTCTTTAGCTATCCTCTCGCGATCTATGGTGCTGTCCATGTTGCCTAGTCAGCGTATCGATAACAACTGATTATGTCACGGTACCGCAAAGTCATTAAAACCTTTTCTATATCGTCCATTGTTAAGCGCACTATCCTTATCAATCACTAGAAATCTTTGTACTAGAAGTACTTTTGCTGCCAACATTTACGACACAAATCGCTGAAATCTTCGTAGGACATGTCAGTATTTACGTGATCGTTGTACACTCGTTTCAGATTAGTACCATCCTGTTTGAATAGGATCAACAGATTCGCATTGTCACGTATAAGATGCTTCGGTATCTTTGCATACGTCTGACAGAGATAGAAGCAGTCAACGTGGGCGTGTCGACCCATTGCAAAATATTCTCTTATCGCGTTTTGCTTGTCGCATGCCACGTCATCAAAGATAAAGATGGAATTCGGATGCGCCTCGTTCGGTGGAATGACATCGCTATTATTAGAGAATGTATAATAGCCAATTTCTTTGATCGGCGTTAGCAAATTCGTCAGATATTGATATTTCGGCTGTTGCAGCGATTTCGAGTACACGTACACGTTCTCGAATCGTACGCCATGTGGACTTTCCAAGAAGCTTATCAGCACGTTCGTCTTTCCACAGTTTGACGATCCGCAAACGATAGCGCGTATAGAGGTTGGCAGCATGCTACCATGCTTGCGCATCTCTTTATCGGTTCGCACTTTTCCATCGAGATTCGTCACTTTGATCGTCCGCGACTGGCGCACGAATCGCATATTTTCTCCTTCCACAAAATACTGAAAACGATATCGCGAGCGGGCCTATTTATAGGGATGCGTAGAGTGAAATCGCTCAGTAGTCAAAATGTTTCTCATCATATCGAACGATCTACACAGTTTAACATCGAAAGAGTTGGAGTATATACCGAAAATTATACTGCTGCGAGAGTTTGAAAATTTTATAGATGTGTTGTGGGATAGACTGCCCGAGCATATACGAGCCGATTCGGAGGTACAACGATACCGTCGGTGCTTGAAGCACTACAATTTGCCGAGTCATCAGACGCATATCGACGGACCGGCGCCTCTGATTAAGAATTGTGACGAATGCCGTCGAGAGGCTCGTTAAATCGCGCGATAAACGCACTTACTTTCGAACTGCATATTCCCGAATATCAGTTTTGCGGTCCAGGAACGCGTTTAAAGAAACGATTGGCGAGAGGAGATCGAGGTATCAATCCGTTGGACGAGGCATGTCGCGAGCACGATATAGCGTATTCGCATAGCAGCGAACTCGCAAAACGACATACAGCTGACAAATTACTCGCTGAGAAGGCGAGGAAATGCATTTCGGCGCGGAATCGCAAGGGACTCTACTCTTGGAGAGAGAGCCGCAGCCACGGCCGTTTGGGCGGTTATGAAGGCTAAGACAAAATTAGGTATGGGTCTGAAAACTAGGAAGAGGAAGAGCAAACGGATACTTCCGATGGTGAAACGCGGCGGCGTCCTACCTATTTTTCCGCTGCTGGGCGTTCTCAGGTCGTTTGTCGGCGGAGCGGCGGGAGTCGCCAAGATCGTAAACGATAGCAAAGCGGCGCAGCATCAGCTACAAGAACTGCAACGTCATAATCTCGTCATGGAAGGTTACGGCGTTTGTCTCGCTCCCTACAAGCGCGGATGAGGTTTCGCGCGTAGAAAAAAAAACGTCGACGAGACTGCCAAAGGGTGTAACTACCAACTGCAGCAACTTGCAAACCGTATGCGCATTCCATATTTTAGAGGTATCTTTATGCGTACTACATTACCGGTGGAAGGAGTACATCGAAACGAGAGCGGTATAGTAAATTTGGATAATGTCGAAGGACCTGGTACGTATTGAGTGGCATATGCGAAAAGGGGAAATCATGCTATATATTTCGACAGTTTCGGCAATCTTCGACCGCCGAAGGAACTCGAACGATATCTGGTAAACAGTGTAATCGAGTACAATCGTACGCATTATCAATGCTACAATCAGAGTAATTGTGGACAGCTGTGTCTACAGTTTCTACGAACGGTTGACAAGCAATTTAAGGACCGACATTGCACCGTTTAACTCAGTATTTGTTTAAACATGTCGTTGACATTTACGCTGACCGGCAAAAGTAGCGTCCTTGCTGTGAGCTACTTTCCAGCTGTGGATTTGAACGATGCCGATTACGAGCTCGGTCTGACGGACTTTGAAACATACCATACTCTAGCGAATGTAAATTCGACAAACATTAAGTTTTACTTTTATGATGACGAAATTGTCATTCCCGAAGGATCGTGCTGCGTGATATAGAGCGGTATCTGAAACGTGAAATTTTACGTTCTCACGACGCGAAGCGCAAGGTGGATGAAGACGATGAGTTCCCGCTGGTGATTCGCGCCAACAACAATACAATGAGAAGTGAGATTAAATGCGCTTATCGAATAGATTTTACAAAACCTCGCAACATTGGATTGCTATTGGGATTTTCGTCGAATCGCGTGCTTGAGCCGCGGCAGTGGCACTAGTCAGACGTGCCTATAAACATCATCAGCGCAAACATTATTCGTATCGAGTGTAACGTGACTACGGGTGCGTACAGCAACGACAGGTGCGTGCATACGATACATAAGTTTTTACCGAGCGTGCCGCCAGGATATAAGATATCGGAAAGGCCGATGCAGATCATTTACCTTCTGATCATCGTACGGAACATTACAGATCTGACGATTCGCGTGGTGGATCAAAACGGTCGAGTGCTCGATTTTCGTGGAGAGGAGATTACCGTTAGATTGCATGTACGACGGCGCTAACGTGGGATGCTTGTGTTGAACGAACAGTTGAAACGGACGAGAAATACGCCTATTACCGGAGAAACGTCATCTAGAAAGAAACTCACTGCTTCCAGCATAGCATTTTTAAAGTCGTTGGGATTCATTATACGAAATGACTGATATTTTAAACATTGCCAGCGAGCCGATCTTTGACGACCGCATCGTCAAGATCGAGACTCACACATACAATTCGTACGTCAACACAACGTTTGCACACAGCGATGAGATACGGATACCCATACAGCAGCAGGATTTATACACGTTGCCGTGCGACAGTTTTCTCTACGTAGAAAGAAGATTGACGCTGAAGAAGAAAGATGATTCGCCAACAACGCTTGGAAATAATTGCGTGGCGTTCATGTTTGATGAAATTCGATACGAACTGAACGGCGTGGAGATTGACCTCAACAGAAACATCAGAGTTACCAGTACCATCAAGAACTATGTGTCGCTGACGTATGACAAATCTTTGATTGCGCTGAACACGCTGGATGGAACACTAGATCCGACATGGAGGAAGGATACTTTAATTTTTGCGTACCGCTCAACATGTTGTTGGGCTTTCGCGAAGATTACAAACGCGTGGTCGTTAACGCTCGTCACGAATTGATTTCGATACGAGCGCGCAACGATTACAATTGTTTGGCGGGAAATTCTGCGACGGAGCCTGAAGTTGAATTATTCAAAGTGCAGTGGCGAATGCTTCACGTTACGTTAAACGAGGTGAATAAATTGTCGATGCTGCGAGCATTGGGAAGCGCTCGTTATCTGAGCATGAATGTTTTCGCTCGTACTCGGGATCTGTACGAGTATTCTCGTATGTTACAGAGTACTACCAAACATTCATGGGCTGTCAAAACGGCGACTCAGCTTGAGAAGCCGCGATACGTTATCTTTGCTCTGCAGACCGGTCGAAAGAATATCATGTCTCGAGATGCTAGCCTGTTCGATGATTGTAATTTGAGCAACGTGAAACTTTATCTAAATTCAGAGTTTTATCCGTATGATGATTTGAATCTGGATTTTGGCAAAAAGAGATACGCCGTTTTGTTTGATATGTACACGCGTTTTCGTAAAGCCTATTATGGAATTGACTGTTTCAAAACGCTTCCCAACATGCTCTCGTTTATCGAGAAAGGGCCTTTCGCGGTTATTGATTGTTCGCGACAAAACGAATTCGTTAAGAGCGCAACCGTAGATGTACGCATAGAATTTGACTGCAAGGAGAATGTGCCTGCCAACACTACCGCATACTGTCTCATCATACACGATCGTGTAATCGAATACAGTCCGTTGTCTAACGTAGTGCGCAAGATCGTGTAAATTGCAACATCAGCAACAATTTAAGAGAGATTACCACTGATATGAGCGCAGTTTCGAATAAATGTTTGTAAACACCTAACTTTTTAAGCGCGGACGTAGCTCGTCGGGGCCTCTCGGCGCGGGGCTTTAAAAGAGGTTCGAGTAGGAGAGGCGAGATGCA